AGTATGCGAGTACTTCATCATCTTTCATTTATTTTCTTCATAACACTCTACTGAAATATTATATCATGAGGAAATAAGGCATATTGAGAAATTAAATTAGATGCCTCAATATCAATAAAGAAGCTTGCAGCTGAACAGGAATCCAGATCTTTCAAGTTCAGCTCAGATTTGCAGATAAAAATGAGAAAGCTGTCCTGAATCTTACTCATTTAACTCCTTTTAAAATTGAACCCTTACATGACCTTATTTCTAATATCTTTCAATATAGAAACCTGGGCACCAATCTGCATTTCTCATACTGTAAAACCTTCACCAACTCACATTCCCTCTAATTTGCAAAAACAGTAATTTTGAGAAAGTTGACAATGTTGCATACAGCTCTCTGCTTCTATCTACCCTCTTTTTAAGCTGTGAACAGCTGTAAGTACATGTGCCAGAACCTGCCTTTGCCGGCAGGTAAACGTTCCTGTCTTGGAATCTGTTAGCACAGTCAGTGAGTATGTGGCAAGACAAACTCTGCAGGGATTTGCAAAAAAATGATTAACGATGAGATATGAAAGGAAGAAAGCTAAGAATTGTATTTTAGGCAGACATTCAACACAGTCATTTCAGAAACAGCTTCAGATCGGTTCTCTATACCATTGGTTCTTCTCACAAGGAAGTTTAAAGAAAAATAGAAGGAAATTCAGTGTTTGAGTTAAAGAGATTAAAATGTCTCATGCCTATGATCCTCCATGTATCGCAGACAACTAGTATACGTGGGATAGCAAAGAGCTGCTTTTTGGCAACAACCAAAAGGCATGCATCTCTTTTTCACGCTCCCACCTCACATGGTCCAGTAACTCTGACTACACCTGGTGCGGGGAGAGGCATATTGTTAAAATATGTTTGCAGGTGAGAAAAAATGTTTTTTCCTAACAATCCATCACTTACTACTTTCTCAAAAAAAGAGAATGTACACAATGTGAGGATCAGGTTTACTTAATAGCAGAGACAAATTCTAGACAGGAGAGAAAAACCTACCAAGCTGTGATTTTTAAGAAGGTGTATGACATGATCAGTAGTTTGGGGCAGCCAATGATGAGAACCTTTTGATGAGAAGGGGAAGAGATGAAGACATAAAACGTGCAGACAAAAGATTTAAGGAGCACATTTTCACTGACGGAGGCAGATGTGAAATGAAGAATTATCAGAAGGGATAAACACTTAAAGAATTACATGCTCAATTCAGAATAATACCACTTTCTTGATTCTTCCACTGAAACATCTGCAAAATTGCAGGCACCAAAAATGCACATTAAAATGTTCACAGAGTTCACTTAATTGTAATTACCTTAGCAAATTAAGAACTTTCCTGGAAGCAAATTTAGCAGGATGTGAGAAGACTGAAGTATATGCTAGTGTCAATTAAGGCTGATTTTAAAAAATGATTTATTAAAAAATAATCATAAAAATACCCTGAAAAAATATGTACAATTTTATAAAGCAGTAACGAAAAGTCAAGTAGAGGAGATGATAAAGGTAAAGCAGAACCAGGTGTCAGCGAGGAGTTTAGGTGCAGACCTTTTCCATCAGTACATTGGATGTACTTCATATAAGCGAGTCCCACCTTCAATAAGTGAGTCTCTCCCTTACTCTCAGATAGGTTGTAGATACATAAAATTTCCTTTGTTGCTCGCTCCTTTTATTTCCTTTAGGGAAAGGCTGTTCTAATGTTTTCAAAGCTCATAGGTAACCGACCCTACAACAAATTAAGTTGATTGTACTGGGAAAAGAAAAGACCTGAGCATATTGACAAAAGCACTGTCTTTCTTGAACAGAGCCTTTGCCATAAGCCAAAAGGGCTTTTCCAAGCATTTAAGTACTTGATACCACCTCGGGGGAGTCCCAGCAAAAACAAATACGTGCAGCCACCGAGGTAAAAGAGATATATAAAATTAAAGAAAAACCAGAACCTTTCTGGAAATTTACTATATAGTCTTACTAGAAATGCTGCATCAGGGACTCTTTTGCTACAGTCTAGTAGCTTCTGATGTATTTGGTGGTATAAATAAGATGAAACAGTTATTCCACATGACAATGTTTTTCCTCTCATGACGCTCCCTTTCAGATGTAATCCCAACTGCCAAGAAGGGTGGCCATCCATTCTTTGGGGGATTTTTTTTCACAGGGAATGCAAAAGCCTTCCAGATTCTGATTTTCATGAATCAGATCATATAATATTATATACAACACCATGAATGTGCATTTTATTTTGCAAAAATTCAAAATACACTGCTCTGAGTACCTGACAAGGGAGTCTAGGGAATAACGAAGAACAACCTGGAGGAAAGGTTGTCCCTTTCTCCTCACTGCATCACACAAATCAGAATATATCCTTTGAGCTTCTTGCATTTCTGTTCAGTGAAGAAAAGTGCATGGACTTACGTCCTCTGCGCTCCAACTTGGGCTTTAGTGTTAACAGTAACATAACTGTTCTTGTGTAGCTTTTTTTTTTTTTTGTCTGCATGCAGACACTAACATTCTGACACTATTATTTCACCTATTCACAGGACTTGGAACAGTTACCTGTTGGGCAGGTTTTTCCTACCCAAGGCTGAACAGGACATTCAGCTCTACAGGAAGGAACGACCAGTGTGTCTTTGGCAGGCAGAATTAGCCTCCATATCTCTTAAGAAAGGCTGTATATTTTTACTGTGCAAGTTGGAGAGCTGTGTGACTGCAGCAGTCTCTCCTGAAAGAGCAGAACTCAGGTGTGCTGCGCGACAGCATCAATCAGATGATACATACCGCATATATTGTACATATTAAATGATATATACTGCACCTGAGTCATTGCAAAATTCCTCTTTTTGATACAGCCTAATAATCAGATACAGAAAGTTTTGTAAGCAAGTAAGCTGCTCCACCAGGATATGACCCTCTCATTTTGGGATCTAGATTACCCACACAGAATATAGCTACAGAAACATGGTTGAGAGTTCTTTAAGAGCAGTACATAAGATAGCTAGACAGCCACAGTGCCATAATAAAGCACATTTGATTAAAACGACTAAATTCCTGTTAAGTGGCACATTAATTCCATCAATTACAAGTGAAAAAGCAACATATAACCTGGAAAAAAGGTAAGTATCAGTCCACATAAATGCAGAGTTATGAAGCACAGAAAGCTAATATGGGAGGCTAATGACATCAGGAAAGAAAAGAGGCTGGTATATGTTACGGTAAATTAAATAAATTTTAAAAGTATATAGGGACAACAGGAATTCCATGCCTAATTACAGGATAAAGAAATAGATACTTCTCTATTCAATAACTATTTCTTTTCAGTATTTGGACGTAAATAAGGTGTTCAGATACATTCCCCCTCATTAGTAACCCAGTGGATTTTGAACAGTTTCTACTATTATCAAAATTCTCATTTGCAAGCTCAAGCAACTTTTACCCAAGAAGTCAAAAAATTCTTTTAATAGCTTTCAGGGCAATAGTAGACTACGAGCTCTTCATTTATACGTAATAGGTTCTAGACCATCACTAAGTAATGATAAAAAAACTTTACTGCCTGGTATTTAAATAATTACTAGCTCTATGAAATAAATTTGTGGCTCAATGAAGCTCTCCATGGACATGTGTTCCTATCATAAATACTATGAGAACTTGCTCTAATTTCACTGACAGTTCAGGGCTTTCTAAGCACTAAAAGGGGAGAAGGTCTGCACTTTTATGAAACTAAAATTTAATCATCTAGATATGTTACAACCATTTTTGGTTAGTTAGAACAATGCAGGGAAGGCTGCAAAATCTTTGAGAAGGATAAATGGAGTTGTTGATACTGGTGATTGGCCAACTTCCAGTTTGTATATTTATTCTTTCACACTCCCTGTATTTGCCCTGCAGTTTGACATTTCCCTCTGTACAAAGTGAGTACAGCATTAGTGAAAAATACCTGATGTTATTTAAAATACCGATGCATTTTTATGTGTGTATCAAGACTAGACAGGCCTTCGTACAGGATACGCATTTCATGTGGTGTACGTTTACTTCCTTAGTTTGGTATTAAATGGATTTCTCACTGAAACATCACCTCCTGGCATCTTGTGCTCCGGATGCTCTGTTTAGCGGAAGCTGAATTTCCACCCCAGCCTTGTGGCTTCCTGAACGCTGTGAATGCTGGGGGTCGGCTTACTCCTCCTGTTGCTGCTCACACCAGAGGCACTCAGGGAAGTTTAACGCTTACTTCTGCTACAGCTACGGTTCCCTGAAGAGGATTCTCATTTCTGTACAAGAACAGGCTCTGTCACATAAGCCACGTCCTCTATCAGGTCCTCTCTTCCACTGCTGCCCAACAGAAACTGAGAGCAAAGAAACAAATGGTGAAAATGTTAACTTTTGGAAAGAAGGATTTTTCACAAGGGAAATAATGAAAACTGGATGAGGTGGGAAACTGTCTTCCCAAGGCCCACACATATTGTTCATCATTTGGACTCCTTTCAGGCTCTGTTATCAGCCTACCAATAGAATTTCTCTGTATTAAAACCCTTTCCTGAGATTACGTGACAAAAGTCATCGTGCGACTTCACCATGGACACAGCGTACACTGCAGCAGAGGTGTGGGCTCCCAGCCCTTTTGTTTCCATACGGGTGAACTATCATTCTAGATTTATGAATGCTGCCCTTAGCAGGGAGACATGTTCTCTGAATCCCACCTTTTGTTTCAAGAGGAAATGGTTTGAGGGGAGGGAATCAGCTCCCATGTAAAAAGGTATTTGGAAAAGAAACACAGCCCACTTCACAGTAGCTGACCAATGAGAGGAATTTCTGTGTTGGCTGAAGGCTTAGGGCTGATAAATTCCACGGGGCTCAGATAACACATTCGAGAGACAACTCCCATTGTCCCAGGCATAAAAGAAGTGGGGTGGGGGAGAGGAACACACACTCCTGCTTCAGGATCACAAACTCTGTGATCTGTAATTTCAGTCAGGTCCTTGATATTTCTTACCATGGCCAGTTACAGCTTCAGGCAAACTACCTCTTCTGTGTCAGGGGGACTTGGTGGCTCTTCAGTCCGTCTTGGCGGAGGTTCCTTTAGGGCCCCAAGTATCCATGGTGGATCTGGTGGCAGGGGTGTCTCAGTCTCTTCTGCTAGATTTGTCTCTTCTGGCCTAGGAAGTGGCGTGGGTGGTGGATATGGTAGTAGTTTTAGCAACAGCTTCAGTGGTGGCTTTGGTGGTTGTCTGGGCAGTGGTGATGGCCTCCTTTCAGGAAATGAAAAAACAACTATGCAAAATCTGAACGATCGCCTAGCATCTTACTTGGACAAAGTGCGTGCACTGGAAGAAGCAAATTCTGATCTTGAAATTAAAATCCGAGACTGGTACCAGAAACAAGGACCAGGGCCTGCTCGGGACTACAGTCCTTATTATAAGACTATCGAAGACCTTCGAGAAAAGGTAGGTGTTAACATTTATTAAAAAGCAGCTTAGTTTGCACAAACACTTAAGAAGGAAGCATAAAAAATGAAAGAGAAAATCTTTACTAGAAAAACAGCCAGGAGGGATTGCGGATTATGAAAAGGACAGGAAGATGAAATGAATACATAATGAGTCAGCAGGGATGGATAAAGAGCATGTTCAGTATGGAATTATCTACTTTTAAAAACGTTAGCTAAGAGAATGTATACAGCGATCAGTTTGAGATGCCTCAGTGCTTAGTCCCCTGATAATACTTGCTTTTAACAGTGAATGGGGAGTGGATTCGAGGGCCCTGCAGACAGAGGTAGATCTAAATAGTGCCCCAGCAAACAGCAGTAAATTCTCTAACAGCTTTCATTTAATTTTGCAGTGTTTTGTGTAGAACATTTTCTATATTTCAATAGCTTCAGTGGATACTACTGCCTGGAAAGTACTGGCTTATTTTGTGTATTAACTGGTGTGTATACATATAAATATGTATGTATGTATGTATTTACTTAGACAGCAAGACCAAACTCTAACAGCAACCTGCCTGTCTCTGCAATTTCAGAGGCACATACACACTGCTTTAACAGTAAAAATTAAAAATGGTCCTCTTTTATTTTGTAAATGTCAGGATGGCATTTCAGGATTTCATCATCATCAATATATTTGTCTTGTAGATTTCCCTTCCTTGAGTTAGGACTGGAAATAAAGAGTGCTGAAACTTCTGGCTTATGGATAAAGAAAGCAGCAGACATGAAGTAATCAATCTCTGTATAAACGCAGGATCTGTGTTCCCCCAATAGCCCATGAGTATGGGATAACAGGTTACTTTAAGATACACACCCTGGCAAACATACATAGTAGCTGACTAAACTATGCAAACAAATGAAAGAAAACTTGAGGTTCAGCTTGGAGTTCATGACCCCTCCCACAAAGTTTACTTTTCTTTTGCTTTAACCCATTCACACGCTGTACTGGTTTCAGAAACTAAGTTCCAGAAAAAAGCAGAACTGGGGATTAGATTTTCTCTTTTTAGTATCCTTTCCTGCTTGTATTTTATTCCCCTTAGTTAGGGGAGAGAAGGTGTTGTCCCAGCTGCTTTTCTAGATATCTTTTGATTTTTGAAAGTGGCTGATAAAAAGCCACGCTTTCTAGATAAAAATAAACCAGAATTACTCTTCAGTAAATAACATTTCCTTTATGGCTGCTCACGCTGCATCAGAAGAGTCCCTGAACACTGAACAGTGGTTCATATAAAAATGCGTTCAAGGACCACAGAAATGCAGTATGAATGTATACTGTTCATGATACACAAATACATCATTTATTTTAAAATCACTCACTACTGCTAATAAGAAAATGTATATTGAGAAATTCTGCCAAGAAGGCTCTGCAGACTTTGCTTCCATTGCATCTTACCAGGAAATAGCCTTCTTGCTTCAGTCTTAAAACATCACCTACCCACTGGCTCACCAAAGTCCTCTCCCTCTAACAGAACATGTAGATTTGTCTCACTGTGGTGACTTCACATGGTGATAGGACTTCTAATTTAAAGCCACTTCATAGGCCAGACAAAAAATAAGGGAACCTATCCATAAATGATACTCACGGCAAAAAGTACTGCGATAAATCTATGCTGTACATTTGCTGTACTTCACTGTTACTTTGCTACTGAGACCAAATAAAGTACACTTTTATTTGGTGTAGCTACAGTTGAAACAGAATCTTCACTCTTTTATCTTCAGTATCAAGGAAGGAGGTAACAGAATTGTTTCAGCCTCAGCAATGAATCACTCTCATTGTTCGCAGATCCTTGCTGCCACTATCGACAACTCCAAGATTGTCTTGCAAATTGATAATGCCAGGCTGGCTGCTGATGACTTTAAAACCAAGTGAGTATTTTTGGAAAGGAAAACGGTCTCTTAGGCAGGCGAGTACCCCTGTTGAGCCAAAGGGCAGTGGCTGTGAAAAAGCAAAGGAATGTCAACAAACGTTTGTGTATTAGCAGCAGTTTGATCCTGTCATTGCAATTCAACCCTTGATGCGTTTGCTGAAAGCCTCTTCTACACTACAGACAATTTTGTATCATGTAATACACAAGGAGAATAGTTTAATACTGAAAAACATTTGCTAAATGGTAGGTTTTCAGTCCTACAAAACTGGATACATTTACACTATATAATGTGTTTCACAGTCAGCCAGCCTCAATAGTTTTGTTTTGCTTTGTTTTTTTTAAGGTTTGAAACAGAGCAAGCTCTTCGCATGAGCGTGGAGGCTGACATCAACGGCCTGCGCAGAGTCCTGGATGAACTGACCCTGGCTAGAACAGACTTGGAGCTGCAGATTGAAAACTTAAAAGAAGAGCTGGCCTACCTAAAGAAGAACCATGAGGAGGTAAAAAAAAAAAAAAAAAACAAGGCACACATCTGAAAATGACATTAGAAAACACCTTGTGTGAATGTGGAGTCCTCAGGAGTGCCTTGGGCTCTCCAGCAGCAAACAAAAGATTTCTGTGTAGATTAAGCAACTAACGACATCCCCTGCAAGTATTTCAGGATAGTCGGTCAGACATTAGACCTTGAAGAAAGAAAGGAAGGTGTAAAATGTTTTCAGTTTATGATTGTACCCTCTTTTGCCTTCCTCTGCCACGCCGACGTAGGAAATGAGTGCCCTGGGAGGGCAAGTAGCTGGCCAAGTCAGTGTTGAAGTGGACTCTGCTCCAGGCATTGACCTGTCCAAGATCCTGGCTGACATGAGAGACCAGTATGAACACATGGCTGAAAAGAACAGGAAGGATGCTGAGGCCTGGTTCCAAAACAAGGTAGGAAACACTCCACACATGCAAATATTAACCAAAAGATCTGTGAAATAAAGAAAGTAATTTTTAAAATGTACAGGAAAGTGCTGTGAAAGCCTCATGACCTCTAGAAAGAGGCCTCACATTTCTCACGTTAACGCCTTCCCTCTTTCAGACTGAAGAACTGAACCGCGAAGTCGCTGTCAATACTGAGCAACTGCAGAGCAGCAAGTCTGAAGTCACTGACTTGAGACGCACCCTCCAAGGCCTGGACATAGAGCTGCAGTCCCAGCTCAGCATGGTGTGTTCAAACATGCACCGCATAAACACATACACACTGAAACATGTCCATACTCCCCTTCCCACAAGCAATCCTGTATCTGGCAGCAACCTCTTTGTTGTTTCCCCTCCAACCTCTCTGTTCTCAGAAAGCGGCGCTGGAAAACACCTTGGCAGACACAGAAGGGCGCTATGGTGCCCAGCTGGCACAGATCCAGGCCCTGATAGGCAACATGGAGGCCCAGCTGGCTGAACTCCGAGCTGAGATGGAACGCCAGAACAGCGAATACAAGATCCTCATGGACATCAAGACTCGTCTGGAGCAAGAGATTGCCACTTACCGCCAACTCCTGGAAGGCCAGGAGAGCCAGTAAGTAACTGCTCACTGGGGAAGACCTCTGTGCTTAAGCTCATAAAGTTTGACCGTGCCATGGTGCTCCTTAGCTAACTGTGTCACAGCATCATAATAAACCCAACTTCAGATACTCCTGGGTATTCGAAAATGTTTAACAAATCATTTTTTCTGGACTATGCTAGAGCTAGAAATGTTACAATTTCCATTTGCGTTAAGCAGGTACCACAAAGAGCTTCTAAACCAAAGGACAAACCGACAAACAGTACGAGAGACTTAGCCCAACGAACAGCTAAAGTGGTAACTCAACATACGCTTAGCATTTAGGGAACACAGTGCAGTTAGTGATGTTTTTTAAAAGTATATGGATTAAATCCAAATTCCCACAAACTTCCTGTTGCCAGTTAAGTAGCTCTTCCTCATAGGATTCACTGTAGAAATAAATATTCTGAGGAGAACTGAATATAGAGCAGCTTAGCTAATTTCCGACAGCCATTTAAGTGCACAGCTCTCGTCAGTTCACATATAGCCTCAAGGAGGAAAATATTTCATAGTCTAGAACAAGAAATGAGGTAGGAGTTGAAAGTTTTTGATTTCCTTTATTCTCTGCTTTTCAGAAATGTCTTTTCCCACTTCAGCTGTTAAAAAAATTTTTCCTTCAATAATTCCCTCTCCTGAGCTGAAAGTGGTGGCAAGGAGACGAACATCTCACGCCTGACTATGTATAAAATGTACCTGATAGAGATTTTGCTTTCATATATCCTTCTCTCACCCTGTATTTGATGTATTATCCCTCCTTTCATCTATTATCTCTTTGTTTTACAGGATGTTTGGCTCCCTTTCTGCAACTACTGGTAAGGATTCTTTCTCTTTAGGGAAACTTTTAAAAGTGAAATAACTTTTATTTTCTAAAAAGAAAAATATATTCATTATGGCAGTGGTGTGAATTTTAGAGATGGGGTTGCTGCACTGACTCAGAAAAAAATCTAAGTAGGAACAAATGATGGCTCTGGCTAGAATTTAACAACTTATAGTCATTAAAAGCTGCTGGGCATCAGAAAAAAATCTCAGACTATGCTACAATAAAGGCTAAGTACATCACAAAATGCATAATCATTCCTCCAGATAAAAGGATACAAGAAATTTGAGCTTGGCCAGCTCAGAGGTATTGTATGAACATGCAAGTAAAGTATTTCTTGAGCTTTTATGTAGGATGCATGATTCAAACCAATGCTATGAAGAGGAAAACTTCTGGGAAAAGGGAATGAGAGATGAGATAGAATATAAGCTCAGCGTCCATTGCAGAGAGTGGTCTCATTTGTGTTATGCTTCAGTAATTGTTGTTCTTTCTTTCTGTATTATTGCAGACAAAGGAGACAAGCTGGCAGATGGAAAAAAGTACTAAAAGTCTTCAAAATGTCACCTTCAAAATAAATTTTTTAAAAAAGCAAGCCAATATATAGGAATTAAAATTCAGAAGAATCATAATAAACTGGTGGAAATGAGTACAGTAAAGCACAGAAAAGTCTTGACATTAGTGCTGATTACGTTTTGAATTAGGTTAGGTTTTCAGTCATTCCTTGTTCTTTCATGTACTGAATTGCTGTATCTACTCTAATAAAAATGATCTGTTTCTTGCAAACGAAACTCTTTTTCTTTATTGCGACATCCTTATTGCAATTTGGCTTTAATCAGAACAAATAAACAGCTAGCCAACCTCCCCGAGAGGTTAGTGCTCACAGAGTCACATGGGTGGCTTGAGCTCCATCCCCAATCTCCTCGTCTAACTTCTCTTGCTGGCAGGAGCTCTGAATACAGAGGCAACCGCATCTCAGCTCCTCAGTGAGGGGGATACAGGGGTGACTTACATTACTGACTACAATGGCTGTGGACTCTGAAGAGCAGTAACAGTGAGATCTTATGCGGCTTTGGTAATGAGCAAGGGCTGGGAGACTTTTTTTTAGGGTGAAATGCAAAGCTGTTAAAATAGTTTGACGATATTCCTGTGGAAACAAATGGGAAGGAGAAACTGGCATGAGATTTCTTCATTCACTTTCTATTCTGATACATTGATCTTCAAAGAAAAATACAATCCTCAGTTCATACAGTTAGGTAACAAACCTTTAGCCCATATTATAGCCACCTTCATTTCCAAACCATTGAAAGGATACTTATCATAGCTGAAATTCTAAATGTAAATACTTTTAGCTCAGCCCCCACAAATCAGAAATTTCATTCCCAACCAGCACTCTAGAAGCAAGGAAAAGGAAACTTCTCAGGGTTTGTGCTAAAAACAAACCGGGGCTATAGCTCATATATCACATTCCCACTTCCAAGTGGCAGTTGTAAGAGGCATACTGTTAACTAGTCACCTGAAGGCGAAATTGCAATGAGAGTATGCCCTGACTAAAAGCAACCCAATACTGCATCCTCGCAGAGCAGACCCTCTTGCACCCTGTGTTTCAGGGAGATCCCATCAAGTCCTTCATCACTTCTCCCTTAAATAAATCATTTCACTCTCGTGCATAACTAGTTTACGGCTTAATGGAGCATTTGCAGAGCAAGGACCATCCCAAAGCTTTGGATCACCTCTACCAAGGCTGGGCGATCCTTTTCAACCGTAGGGGTAGGCTTGACGCTGGTGCCCACTGTTGGTTTAGCAGTGACTCAGGGGACCTGTCAACATCGGTTTTCAAGTCTTGACACGGACAATCCCAGCTCAGCCTCTAGAAATCTGGCAAGGTAACATTAGATAGTGGCATCACTGAAAAACTATGACAGAAAAAAATAGCCATGACATGTTTGAACCAACATAGACATACACAGAAGAAGAGTCGAAGACGGGAAGAACAGCTGGACTAAGTGCTTTGGTGAAGCAGGTACAGAATGAAAAGGGAGCAGTGGCAGGAAAGTGAAATGAAGGCAGTTCATCAGAAATACTCCCTTGCATATGGTATTTGCTTTTGGAAAAGCAAGGAGAAGAAAGTTCTAGTGCATTAAATGCTTCAATACTGCTGACACAATTTCAAATAAATATCTTACACCCAATTTATTCCCTCCAGCAGTTAAGCCTGGAATCCTTTCCAGATCAAACAACAAACAACTCCAGGTCTGTTTTATAATCTTGACAAAAGCCCATTTCCTGGCAGTAAATTCTTGTCACAAAAACAGTCAAAATATGTGATTACTGGTCCAGATTTTGCAGGTTATATAGCTGCAAATGTTAAGAGTCTGAGAACAAGTTCTCATTCGCCAAGAATGCAAAATATAAGGTATAAGGACACTTACTTACGAGATGTATGTTCCAACCAAAAAGCTGGTTTTGGTTTTTAAATTCCAAAGACTAAATTAAATATGTGTTAGAAAAAACATATTTAATAGGTTAAAAGCTTTAAAGTGGTTAAAAGCTTTAAAGTGCCAAGAATTGAAGGAATTCATAAATTCTGTTAAAGTAACTGGAGGCTTCAGAGATTGGAAACAATCTTGAAAATGCCATCATTTCTGTTTTGATATCCTAGTTTGAATTTTAGTTCATAATTTTAATGATTTTGTCCAATACTTGTAGGGTAATGACAGCTTTCTGGCAAAACATTTAACATAAAATCACCCAGAGGGTATAATTCAGAGCTTGGTTCAGAAAAAAAGGATTTTCTAAAGGTGTATAATAGCTGAGTGAGAGTTTTATCAGCAAAAGACTGAAATGATAAACAAGCTGCTTCTTGAATGAAACTCTTTGTCTTCACGGAAGGAGAGGCTACAGTGTGTCAGCTTCATTAATCCAGGAACAGAAGTAATAAGAGTTTGCACAGCACAGACATGTCAGGAAAGGCCTCCTGAGAAACCTCTGTGGAAGCACGACACACCAAGGAGACTATGCACCACAAATACAAGCCCAGTGTCTCAAGACATTAGATAAGAAATCTTAGTGTGAAGCATAAGCTTGAAATAGCATTTTTTTACTTTGGCAAGTGATAAGCTTCGGTTTCCTCGCATGGACTATGAGAAGAAAACTCTAGAGATTTCAGGATTCATGCTCCAGCTGCAGAAAAGAGCTAAATGAACAAAGAAAAACTTTTGGAGCTTCATTTAAAACCGTAAGACGTTATGAACCTTGAAGCATTCCAAACCTCAAAAATTTAGGGAAACGTAAATGACTTTAAATGATAGAACACGGCTAAAATGGAGAAATAATAACCGAAAAGAAAAATATGCCTGTAAGCAGAATTATAACTAGATTCCTGCCTGACGAAGGCAGGAATGAGCCTCAGGTCGGCGAGCGCTACACATCGCATTTCCAGGCCTCTGACTGTGGGGGGGCACCCCCAGGGTCGCAGTTTGATGCTTTAGAGAAAACTGAAAAAGTCACAGGCTCCCCATCTTTGTGGTTTTCTGAATAATGTTATAGGACCATCATCTGCATTGGCTTTTTGATTTATTTTTTCCCCAATAGTAAATATTCTACAGAAAAAGAAAAAAAAGACAAACAGCTTTATATCTGCTACCTGGCACGTTCATCTGATAACAGCACAAGGCACTTTAAAAAACAACGAAGTATATTTCACCAACAAGTTTTCAAAGAAGCTATGCAGACTAAATTAAACAAGACTGAATGAAAAATCCCCAGTGTCTTGTTAAAGTTTATGATGTTCTCTAGAAGCGGTTTTGCTGGATTTTTTTTAAATGGAATTTGATCTTGCTTATTATGGGACCATTTGGAGTCAGAGCCTAGCAGCATGCACACTTCAGCATATTTACATTACAGGGGGCTTGAAGAAACTTTGTTTATCTTTAGGAGAGTTTGTCAAAACTTGTTTCCTGAGATATGAACTCCTGGAGATATATGAATTTGGCAAGATACTCAGGATTATTAATCTGCCCCTTGGCAAAACTGCACTGCTATGGCAAAGGGCCAGGTTCAGTTGGAAACATGTTTCCACAACTCCGAAATATCATCTCTTTTCTACATAGCTGAAGAGCAAGTGGACATTTTCAGAAGCAGGTTGTGAAGCCGCACATCCCAGCTAGACTTTTGATACACTTTTCCTCCTAGTGCACACGCTCCTGCCTCTTCCTGGCAGAAAGGCTGGGTAATTCCCTGAGACTGCACTGCAGCGTCAGCTGTAAACTTCAGAAAACCCCTCAGCTTACTGCTGCAACTGATACAATCCTCAGTTTACCTCCAAACACTCATCCTGTATTCTGATTTCTTTTTCTATTGATATGTCAAAAACCGTGCAAAAAAAAAAAAAGCCAAATCCTTTATGTTGTTAGCAAACATATCATTTGTTTTGCTTTATTTCAAAGTTGTATTTTAAAATAAATTTGGTGCTTCTAAGCTAAAAACCAGGGAACGTTCTGCCCATCTTCGCTTTGCCCCTGCTTCTGTCCCACCTCTCCCAACCCTCAGTTTCCTTCAGCCCCTCAGCACCCGCCGGCTGTGCGACCGTACGTGCCCCTGCTTGTCAGCTGCCACTTGTGACTTTCACCTGAAGAATGTCACCTTGCTGTGCAAAGAGACTGGGGTTCTTTCTTCCAAACCCACACTATTGCCACACTGTCCACACAGACGCCTTATCCCACGGACACACCCTGGCAGTGTAAGCGAGCAGCTAATTGTTCTGTAAAAATCCCTCAAATCTGGTTTCTCATAATTAGGCAGTATTAAATCATGTTAATTAACCGAATTCTGAATTACTGACTTCTGAATTTCACTAGAAATTTACTAGGATTGAAACAGACCAATTTCAAACTCCCAGTTTAAACGAAGGTTTAACATCAGTTTCGTGAGTCTTAAACCTTATTTCAAGATTAACTCCATTGCCTAGTGTGTACTGGCATTACACACGTTAATTGCTATCTGAACAGTTTCATCTTAAACCCAATTTGTTTAGGTTTCCAAAAAGCAATGGGAACTTAGTCTGACATTTATTCTTTTAGTTGAATTATTTCAATCTTATATTCTCTGTACACCGATGGATGTTCATTATCCCTTAAGCAATGTTATAACTATACAATTTTTGTACTAAAAAATTCAGATTCCAAAATCTGAAAATTAATTCTAAGCAAAGAACAGGAAGAAGAACACGACAAATTCAATTCCAAATTTTTAACAAGAATATGAGTAAAAATGAAGAAGGAATGGTGAGATTAACTGATGATAGTACATTTTTCAAAGAAATTGGAATTTTACTTAAAGCAAATTTCGTTTTTAGGCATGGCAATTGCTGTAAATGGGTAAGTGGGTGTGGTTGAACTCACTCCATTTTTCCATTCTTGAATGCGAGAGAGGTAAACTGCAAGTTTCAGAACTATAGCCTAAAGAAAAAACTGTAAGCTGAATCATCCCTTTTGTTTAATTAAAAGAAAAAAAAACAAGTCCTTGCCCCTGGGATCTGCAGCCAGCTCCCTTTGTAAGGAATGGCCTCACCCCTAGGGAGGGGAATCTTTGGAGGGAGGGTTGCAGGGTGGGTTTGTCTCCTAACCCCCTGCCTAGGGATATAAATGAAGCGCCAGGGCAGCAACAGCACTCACATTCTCCCTCTAGACCAAGCTCATTGACCCTAGGTCCTTTCGTGCCTCTGCCATGACTACTGTCTACAGACAGAGCTCCTCTTCTACCTATGGTGGTGGCTTTGGGGGCGGTGGAAGCAGCAGCTCTCGCCTCTCCTCAATCCGAACGGGAGGATCCTACAGGGCTCCAAGTATACATGGAGGATCTGGTGGCAGGGGTGTCTCTGTCTCTTCAGCTCGGTATGTCTCCTCCGTAGGAAGTGGATTTGGTGGTGGCTTGTGTTCTGGTTTGGGTAGTGGCTATGGAGGAGGCTACGGAGGAGGTAGTGCCTTACAAAGTGGCTTTGGTTGGGGTGCAGCCTCTGGCTTTGGTGGAGGGGCTGGCTTTGGTGGAGGTCTTGACTTTGGTGGTGGTGATGGCCTTCTCTCTGGAAATGAAAAGATAACTATGCAGAATCTGAACGACCGTCTGGCTGCATACCTGGACAAGGTACGAGCACTGGAAGAGGCAAATGCTGATTTAGAGGTCAAAATACGAGACTGGTACCAGAAGCAAGCTCCCACCAGCCCAGAGCGGGACTACAGCCACTATTACAAGATAATTGAAGATCTCCGAGACAAGGTATGACATTCATAGGTACAGGGAGTTATAAGAATACATTGGAATTGCGGAACTGCTCTTCAAACCAATTAAAAAACTATAAATAAAAAATTGATTCCCCAAATCCAAATATATTGTAGTTATGAGCATTCTAGCAAAAAAGAGTCTTTTTTTTCTTAATTTAAAAAGTAAATGTGTCATCCTGAAAAGGTGAAGTTTGTTGAAATTAAAATGATTGCACTAAAAGTTAGCAAAAAATGACAAAGTGGGTTTAGAATTATCAATATATTTAGAGAGTAATCAAATACTAAAAATATGATAGGCAGATCTCATAGTCTGGAAAAGTAATTCTCCAGGGCAAAGATAAGATCAGGTATTGTGTAAATGTATTTTACAATTATGTTAAATGTGAACTGTACACATTGCTTATCTTCTCACTTAGTACTTATGAAGTGGTAAAGAAAGAAGATTTAAAGGTTACACACAGAAAGTTCTAAAACAACAACAACAATGTGCTTACTTTCACACAGACATACCTGCCTTTTCTTGGGCTACAGTAAAGGTGTCTCAGATATCTGGGTTGCATCTGGGCGGTGGTAAAGAGTTTAGGTTTTTTGGTTTTCCCATATAAAAGCCATAAGAATTACAACGTGACCAAAAGGCAATATAATAAAATGAAATGGTTATTGCAATGCAAAAAGCGTCTTTAACTAATGAAATCTCAACAGAGGTTCATTTTTTCTGCCTTGTTCGATGGTTAACAGCTTCAATAACTACCTACTAGGCACTCAGGAACAAGGGTATTTCACCATTACTCACAGGAATCCTTTTCTGTATCTCCTACTGCCAGATCCTTGCAGCTACTATTGACAACTCCAGAATCATTTTGGAGATTGACAATGCCAGGCTGGCTGCAGATGACTTCAGACTGAAGTAAGTTTAGCTGGATCACATTTTTATTCTCTCTCATCCTCTCTCTCGGTTTTTTGAAGTTTAATATTACTTCCTATCTAGAAAAAAAAGTTCTTCAGTCACTGACATATTTTTCTTCTATAACCTATGATGAAAAAATCCAGTTAAAAGAATTGATGTGATGAAGGAAGAAATGGGAAAAGAAACTTGATGGAACATAGTATCCAGATTACTGAGATGTTTACATAATAAATTATAGTTCATGTCTTATTTTGGAGGATGCTCCTGAATAGTCTTACTAGCCTAAATCACTCGGGAAAAGAAAGCAGGAACAGGTTGGAATTAGCGTTTAAAAGGAACAGAATGGTGTGCCGAGATGCCTGCTTGGCTGCAGCAGCTCTCTCGCACAGAGTGTCAAATTAAGAAAGGAAAGACAACAGTGATTCTGTGCTTATCCAGTTCATGGACGCTGAGAACAGCCCGTCAGGCACTGCTGAAAAGATGACAAAGATACTTGCACAATTGTTTTCTCTCACAGCAATGTACCTGCAGGTTTGTATTTTCTCCTCTAATGCCCTAGGCAGAGCTGGGCAATCTATGCTTTTCTTTGTGCCAAATTTGAGAAGATGCTGAAAACGAACTGTCCTGTATGGTAACTTCTATCAATGCTGATAATAACTATTAGGTATTACAAACTGAAAAGGTCATGTATTCCTCTGGAATAAAATCAGATGGCAATCCATGTGCTTTCATACTTGAAAGGGGCAAAAAATATCTGCATTCCCTTTAAATTTCCTTTTAATGGATGTTTTCATTTACATCCTCCTGTTCCTTCTACGTTCAGCATAAAATTCCACAGTTTTCCAGCTCTCCTCAATACCAACTCTTGTATGTTCCAACGTGTGTTTCTTTTTAAAACTGCAGATATGAAAACGAGCTGTTCCTTCGCCAGAGCGTGGAGTCCGACATCAACGGCCTGCGCAGAGTCCTGGACGAGCTGACTCTGGCCAGAGCTGACCTGGAGATGCAGATTGAAACGCTGAAGGAGGAGCTGGCCTACCTCAAGAAGAACCACGAGGAGGTGAGAGTTCTTAACAATCAAGAGAGAAAATTAGTTCCATTCAGAATTTACCCCTCTCCATTTGGGGGAAAAACAAACCAGAATGACAGTTTTACAGCTAAATGATTAAGAAGAAAACTGTAATCTCAAAAGAATCCAAATCGTGTCCCTTAAAGCACCTCTCTAATTCCAAACTATTCAGAACTAGGAGTTTTCAGTTTTACATGCAGAGGCCGTTGAGATAACAAAGATGTGTAATAGGAACATACCTGTATGTGCGTGTGTGTGTGTGTGTGTGTGTGTGTGTAGATATATACATATATATCTATACATTTAGATCTATACATATATATCTATACATTTAGATCTATACATATAGATCTATATATACACACACACATGTATGCTTCTGTGTGTGCGCATATACAGAGACAGACAGAGAATAAAAGTAAGTGTGATGAGAGAGATAATTTGGTAAATGTTTCTATGTGTGTCCTACCTTCAGTACTTGATAACTAAAGTACCACATACCACTGTGGGGATTCCTGATGGCAGAAAGTATATGAGAATATAGGAGCATAATCTTTTCTGTGTCCTCTGCCTTCTGCTCATGCAGGAAATGAAAGAATACAAAAATCAGCTAAGCGGAACAGTCAATGTAGAAATGGATGCTGCTCCTGGAATCGACCTGACCAGAATACTCTCCGAGATGAGGGAACAGTATGAAGCTCTGGCAGAGAAGAATCGCAAAGATGCCGAGGCCTGGTTCTTCACTCAGGTATAGTTACTCAACGGATGCATTGCCTCATTATTACTACCCCAGTTTTTGCTGATCAGAGTCTCTGCATTCAACAAGCAGGCAGGTGTACTGAGAAGCATACCAAGTTCTTAAAGGTCCATTGTCTTTTCACTGTTAAACACCTTTAAGCTGCTTTTGGCACTAGCATCGCAAGCATCATTCCAGAAGTAGATATCAATAGTGATGGGCAAACCGAAACGATAAAGTCAGAAGGACAATACCTAAAATGCTTTAGAGTAACAAGAGACTCCATGCAATATTTTGGGGGAGATGGGATGTGCCTTCCCTTTCTCAAAATGATTTTAAACATCTTTTGATACAATCTGTATTTGATTTTCACAGTATTTTTTTTCTTTCAGACTGATGAGCTGAACCGTGAAGTAGCCACACATACACAACAGATACAGACCGGCAAATCGGAGATCACAGAACTGAGACGCACCTTCCAGGGCCTGGAGATAGAGCTCCAGTCCCAGCTCAGCATGGTACGGAGCTCTTCTAAGCCTATCACAAGTGACAACTAGCACACTCTCTCCTTCCTCCCTTTCTGTCTTCCCTTATCTTACACTGTCTCTCTATGGGACAAATAGGCATGATAACCTAGTCTAATATTACTCTGCTTTAGAAAGCTGGACTGGAAGCCAACTTGCGAGATACAGAAGCACGGTACTGTGCACAACTAGCACAAATTCAGGCCCTCATCACCAACGTCGAGGAGCAGTTGAGTGAACTCCGATGCGACATGGAGCGTCAGAACCAGGAGTACCGAATGCTCATGGACATCAAAAGCCGCCTGGAGCAGGAGATTGCCACATACCGCCAGCTCCTGGAGGGCCAGGACTCTCAGTACGTTACTATTTACAAATGCTATGCGGATTAGATATTAATAATAACATGATATAGTGTAAAGCAGTAATTTGTGGCTGCTAAACTGACTCCAGATTACTAAATTACATTGACTGCAAACACAGCCTTTTGTGCGCTGGCAAAACAGATGCTCAGTAACATCCCAAGGGCAGCTGTTACTCAAGCTAAACTTCCAGGTCAACTGAGCTGATAGCTTGAAAACACAAATGCAGCCATGTTGCCTAAAACGAACTACAGAAGGCACCAGGCACCATAGGCATATATCTTATATAATGCTCTTGCTGCACCAGCATAATGAGCTTTAGCCTAAAATAACCTATGAAAAAGTGTTCTCAGTATTTATTTAGCTCCCGTTTTTCTAAGCTTGTGCACAGAGGTGAAAATATTCATCATTGTGCACCAGAATGTTATATTAGTAAAGAACGGGGTGTAGACTATGGCTTACTTTTACGAAGTCTTTTACTGCTCATTTATCATCTGGATCCACGCATGGAATTACCGTTGATCTTTGAGGGGGAATCAGCCCCTTATATTGCTCTTAAATTACAACATTCTGAGACGAGGAAAAGTCCATGTAGACATATCAAGAACAAGAACTGGTCTGAGTGATGTTGATATTTCCTATTGCGTACATAGGAGTGGCCGACTAGAGTAGGCCTTCAAAGCACACGAGAGGGCCTTAGCAATAACATTAGTAAGAAAAGATCTAATGAACAATCCACTGAAAGGAGCAGTGTGAAATCACGGCTCTTCACACTCTTTTTTTTTCCCTAAATCTGTGATCAGTGGTTTCAGCGGACAGGTTCAGTGGCAGTCATTAATTAAACATTTCTTGTTTCCTGCAGGATGTCGGGATGGAGCCCTAAGGATGGTAAGAAAAAATTAGATGTAAGGAGGGGCTGGAATTAATTGACCAAATAGAATTCAATGAACCTATCGTTTTTGGTTGGGATTTCTTCTCACAGCTATAGATCACAGTCTCTCCACTATGGCCACATTCTTTACCATTTAGAGATGAAATTACAGTATTTCATATTATAAAGTATTGTAACCAGTAGCTTGCCAAAATGGTTGCATGAATTCCTACTATAGTTCTAATATATGGAAATTTCCCAGAGATTCCTGAATTCCTGTAATATTGTTATATTGTCATTTAACATAAATATGATACATCCAACTTTGACACGAAATTTTCACGAGGAAATTGTGCGTTCCTCCTTTATATCTTTTATCCTCCTATTTCAAGACTCTCTTTGGTATGTGGAAAAAATCTTGTCAGGAAACAACCAACCAACCCCCCACAGCTCTTCAGGGTGCTAGCAGCACATTTGGGTTCCTCTACTTGAATTACCCTTCTTTCTCCTACCACAGCACATCTGAGCGGCGGAAGAGTTCGCATCACCATGGAAGACTCAGTAGATGGAAAAGTTGTTTCTACACGTGAAAAGAAATTCCCCTAAAAAGAAATACTGAATGCCCTCTTGTACGTGAGATCATCTGTACTGTACCAGTTATAAAAACAGTACACACTGGAGAGGGAATTCGGGAAATAACTTCTGATAAAGTGACAAGGAAACAATGTAGTATGCACACTGGCTAATGCTATCAGAAATGTCCTTTTACTTTCGCCAAATCCACAAGAATTGAGTCCAGTAATGTGCAACAGCTTGGTATCTTTACTTAAATTTGCTCTCCCTTTTTACATGATTCTTTGGCTCTACAGCTCAGAGACGAAGAGCCTGTTTTCTGTCAGTAGCTATATAGTACTCTTATGAAAGAACATAATAAAGCTTCTCTCCTGCTTGTGCAAATACCTTTGGTTTTCTGTTGTTTTTTTTATAGTCAGTATGGCACTGCCATCCACGTGACCATATACACTCCCTTTGTTGCACATCTTACTACGCTGCTTTCTGTAACCCAAACCAGACGCCTGGACTAGGAGCAATCTGTCCTGCACTTCCTTCAGTGCAAAGGCTGGTTCCCTGGGCTAAGCAAAGGCTGGGTGAAGCGAATGCCTCAAGCAGAGTTTGTTGCGACCATTCTGGGTTCCACACGTAAGGAAGAAAGTCACCAGCATACATCATTACTGTAGCTTTTATATTAGCAACACTGCCATTTTCTCAGTAATAAGTTAGTTTATAAATCTACACCACTGTGATTGAAGAGAGAAGCTTATAAATATTTAAGAGGCACGTAAACCCCAACTTCAGAAGCATATAAAACATTCACATAAATGCTGTATTTTGCTAAGATAACCTGTTTGGAAAATGTGTTCCTCATCCCGCACTATTTCAATCCATAGAATTGTATCTACAAAAATGATACCATTTCTGGAAGTATATATTTTATTTTCCTTCTAACCTCTTTGAAGCCATATCATTCTCATCTCTTTTATTTCCTTATTCTCACTACATCCTCTGCACCTACATAATTGCTAATGGTTATCCCCTCACTTCCGCTCCCCTTTCATACCTCTTACTAGATTCTATTGCAGTGTCACTTCCAGATTTTTCAGACATTGCCCGCAATATTGCCTACCTGTTTGATTCCCACGCAGAGACTGAGAGTCCCTTTCTGCTCTCTGAACACGTACACAAATATGGTCATCGCTATTTTTATCTATTCTGTTTTCTGACATTTTAGAAAAAATAAATCTGCACTGCTAGCACCAGCCCCACAGTTTAGCCATCAGTTAAAAGTTCCTTCAGGAGCATTAACCTATCACTGTTAAGAAATACATGTTCTGTAGGACTATTACTCACACTGAAAAGAACTGGGAAGAGCTTCCTGCACACTTCAGCAGAGCAACATCACAATGAATCTGAAAAGAAAAAAAAAACAAAAAAAAACTCAATAGAAATTTCTCCTCATCCAGAAATCAGGTGACTATTAAGTATATTGTTCAGAGAGGAAGAGACAGAAATTGCACAGCAAAAAAATAGCTACTGGTATATGCTAACGGAACAACAACTAACAGTGGATCTACCATAATCTCTAATATTTTTGAACTTTCCGTACAACTAGCGTTGAACTGAACTGATGGCAGGGAAAGTGTTCCTGTGGACAGCAACAAACAAACTGTACAGCTAGTCACCTCACCCACACCCATGAACAAATTTTGTTTTAAGGCATGATGAAACGTCCCTTTGATGACACAATAAAAATAATACTGGCGAGCTCTAACTTATCTTAGCTTTTTATGAGGAAACTGACTCCTTATAAACAACTAAATAACAGACTAATGAGATGCATTTAGAAAACTGGTATAAACTTTCCCAAGAGAAGTGGCTTCTGCAACCCGCCAGCACCCAGTGGGCAGGATATAAAAATGCTCAACTGAGGAACAAGCCATCGGGGCTTAACAGCTTGGGCTCTCCAGCTAATCTGAGGCCTACTAACTGAGGCTACTAGCATCATGATTTCCAAGCACTATATTCACATGGTCTCTTCAGGGACTGCAAAGGGATCCTGTGGCGTAGGTGGTGGTTTCACTAGGATTTCTTCCATACATTCTGGTGGTTCTTCCAGGATTCCAGCTCTCTCATATGGCAGGATAAAAGTTTCAGACATCTCTGCTAAACTGGGATCTTCTGGCCTAGAAAGATGCTTATCTGGTTCTCTTCTGCCTACTAGCTATTATGGTCCAGGGTCTGCTGGCTGGCATGATGAAGGGATCTTCAACAGTAATGAGAAGGAAACCATGCAGTTCCTAAATCAGCCCAGATCAATGAAACTTCTAAATGTATCCAATTGCGAGAAATTGCGTGCTTTAGAGATCTTTTCTGCCTTAGCAGTCCTGTATAGAATTTTAGAACAGGAAATATTTAATTCTATCATTGCGCTGTTCTGTATTTGAAAGGGTTTTTAAAAGGTTTTTCAGTGTTGTGCCTTATTTCCAGATTTTATGTGCCAAGACGAACAATGCTAAACTAGTCTTGCAGATTGACAACGCCAGGCTGGGAGCTGATGATTTCAGAACCAAGTCAGTCCAGCTTGAACCTGAGAGCTTGGCCAATTGCCTCTGTCTTCCTTCATTCACTTTAAAAGCCACCTAATTTTTGCATTTCCTCTAAGAACTATGTCTGATCTAATAACTTATCATGTGTGATTTGACAAAACTGACTTAAGTGCTCTTAGGAACAAATCAAAATTGTTTTGTGCGTGTATTGCGTGGGGGGCATGATGGTACCTTTCAGAAGGACAGCACTAAGCAGCACCTCCAACTTCTCCGAATGAAAGAGCTGAAGATTCCCCAAATGTTACAAATGAAAAAAAAAAGGAGAAAAATATTTTAAAAATGAAAACCATTAACACAAAACTGTAGTGTTAAAATGAGGCTCAACTGCAGTCTTTTGGGTTTGCCAGCTATATCTCAGTGCTTCACACATGTGCTTTCAGGGTTGTAAGCTTTATTAACTTCTGCTTTACAAGGCCTTACTCTACTGCTTCTTTAAAGTTGTGCAAAAAACGTTCAGAGTGATTATTTTTTTTACTTTGGGGCTTTCTTTGAGGTAATCAAAGGGCCAAACTAATTAAATGATTTTGATTCAACAAAAATTACAGCATCATCTCTTGATACTACCTTGACAATCTTTGTAAATTACATTTGATTTTCTGCTAACTGCTTGCATGTTTACTTCCTCCTCCCCGCAGAATTCCCTGTTTCCCACGTGTAACAGACAGTGCACCAGTATCTCAAATCACCACAAAAATCCGCACCATCACAGAGGAGATTAAGGACGGAAGAGTCATTTCTTCCCACGAACAAGTCCAGCATTGCCCTCCTATTTAAAACAAACAACAAGATGTGACGATGAAACCCACTCATGACCTGAAAGTGCAAATAGAGTGGTTCCACCAATGTGTTTAAGCATGCTACAGCTTTCTCTTTAGTAAAGTTCTGTTTTCCTGCATGGCTTTCGCACTGGAGCACTCCGAACCATGTTTCTGCTTTCCAAACGTCTCTGACGTTACAGCCCTGGTTTCCGTAAGCTTTCGCAGCTTCTCAGACGCACAGAAGCGCCTTTGCCAATTACTTAATAAATCTTCACAAGCACTGAAAACCTTTGCATTTATTCATTTCGGTGTTTGTAGCACATGCTTTGTAAAACTAGCTGCTAAACACAGTTTATTTGACTCTCCTGTGTAAAGACCAGAGCAGTTTCCCTACAGGCAGAGGTCTTAGCAAAATCGGATCAGAAACAGGCAATGATTGTTTTCCTGAAGCCTGTGAAAGAAAGGGTCTTGCTTTCATCCGTTTCCTGTTGCTTCAATACTGAAATCCATCTATTAGATAAGGTGCAAAACCAAGATCTTGACAATTTTCAATTATTAAAGAATTTGTGTCACAATTCCAAGAACAGAGAGATAAATGCAACATCTAGGTTAAATTAATATTTTAGAATTTATCTTGAAAAGTAATAGGAGATTTTAGCACAGATAATTATATAGAGCAGTGCTGACTGGAGATGATTCAGGCCCATTTGGTTAAGGTGACTGTGGAAATCACAGTCAGTACCTAACTAGGAGGAACCCTCCCTCCCTGCTGCTACCCTTCTTCTGCAACTGCACCACCTGCAGATTTTGTTCCCTCCTCACCACTGCCCTCGTGTTTTGGATCTACAGCGCTTATGGCTTGGTAGGAGACTCCTTCTCCTCCTCACTCCCCAACATATGTATCTTCAGGCTTAGGTGTCCTTGCCTGCCATGATGGAGAACAGGGGATAATTCTATACTGTTAAAAATCTCATCTGTTCTCTTGAAAGTGCTGAACTTCATCCACAAACTTTTTTGCTTTGCATTTTCTATGTTTTGGCTGTATTATGATGTCTCAGGCAAGCAGAAGCTGTTTTGTTAATCTCTCCATAAACCTCACTGTTCTGGTAAAGCAAACTCACTTTCCATCACTGCTAACTCCTGTCAATGTTTTTATCATGGAAATTTCATGAATACTTATCTGAAAGGTGATGGGACCCCGATCCCAGTCAGAGCCTGTATACCATAATTCCAAAAAAGTGATTAACGTTAAAACCTAAATTCCAAACCAGTGCTATCATTGTCTAATTTTTTTCCTCCTATTGTAGTTATATGTCAGATGGAAAAACAGAGTAAGGGAGTGATCTTGAGTGGAGAAGAGCTACAGACCTGCCAGTCAAGAGACTATTTGGCTAAAACACATTCTCCAGGCTCTGGTCATTAACTTACAGACACAATACTGCATGGTGGGTAGAGCCCTCAACACCTCTGATGTGTTTGGTACTTCTGAAAATGAACAAAATGCCATAGCTGACCCATCACTCTAACTAGAGTTTGAAATTGCTGGTGAATGTATTTTATCTGTACAGCTAAGAATTCTTACAATTGCATTGAAACAACAGCCAGATTTGCCAGATTTCAGACTTACGCATCAAAAATTTCTGTTGTGAAGCAGTAGAAATTAGCTACTGACCTAAATTTCAAATCATTGCTGCCACCTATCTCAGTTTATTTGAAATGCACAACATTTCATCTGGAATTTTCTATTGCCTTCCTACGCTGACGCCCCCAAAATCAAAGGAAAATAGTGGGAAGAGAATATAAGTAATTCCTAAGCAGGAACTGAGAATTCAAGAACTGGCTCGTACAAACAGCAATCCGGTTTACCTAGATTTGGCCTTAGAAAGCTGCTCTGAAAAGCAGCCTGGCGGAAGCAGGGCCTGGCTGCAGCAGGCAGGCAGCAGAGCCGCAACGCCCCGGGGCAGCGTGGAGGCCCACTGGGGCCATCAAAACCGGCCATCCCAACCAGAGCAACTCAGGACCGTACGTTCCCCAGTCCTCACTAGTTGGACCTGCGCAGCACCTCCTCAGCTTACAAAAAGCAGTTTATATGAAACAAGGAAAAGAAGGCATCATCTAATGGTGCCACCTGCTGACAGTGTTTTATTTTCTTATGCTGATCGTTATTTCCATTCTATAGTCTATGAATGAAATAACTGACTAAAACCAAACCCCATAGCTCCAACCTGACAGAAAAGAGCCATGTCTCGTTTCCAGGTAAATTTGTTGGTCTTTTCCATGGATCCTCAACACGGATGCTTGAATACAAGGTGGCATCTTTACCACTGAAATCAGTGGCAAACTACTGATCTGCCACTGGTATCAAAGACCTACTTCTGAGGTAGAGCAGAGCTTCAAAGGAGATACTATCACTCTTCACGCGCCAGATCGCCGTTGCAAAGCTTGCTAGAAAAAATACAGTTCTGTTTTTCATAATTGCATGATATTCAGTGAAGCTATGAGGGAGTAATATGCAGAGGCTATTCCTTCTCATGAACTGTCAGCCTCAAACCAAGTTTTGACTCGCACTTGTCATTTCATGTGAAACAAAGGATTCATTTTAGTATTTGCATAATATTTCATAAAACATTAGCTTACTGAATTGCCAGACTAGAAAACTCCATCTGGAATTAATCACTGGTCAGATGAACTGAATAGGAAGATATCATTTGCCCTGTCATAATCTCTTTCTTTTTTCCAAGTTATATCTTCATTTTTGTCTGGTACGTCAAGCTCTTCTTACTACCAAGCAACACTGCTGATACCCAAATGTAGCTGTTAACGCTACCTGTTACCAGTAAGTTATAGGTATATATAAGCTATATTTATCATACCTTGTACTTACTGGATAATAGTATCTTCATAGATGAATTTCCCCAAACAATTACAAACGTTAGCATTTTTACACAATGAAGTGTATGGGGAATGAGAAGGAATATGCGCTAAATGGAAACGTAATGGGTAAAAAGAAAATCAACAGCTGCTGAGTAGAGAAGTGCCACAGAACCACAAGGAGGAGCTCAAATCCTGCCCAATTCAGAGAATCGGGCAGGAAAAGATGAAGTGCATCAATATTTTATTCAATATTACTGAAAATTTTCAAATGAAACAAACACAGAAAAAGAGCCTTTTCCAGGCTTCTTACAGGAGGATGTATTTCTGTTTTATACAGTCAGTCTGACTCTACCGTTCAGAACCAGTAACAGTGCTATGTAAAAAGATCCTGTGAAAGAGCTGAGCCTTCAAGAGCTGTAGAGAAAAAATGCTGTACCATCTGTTAGAGAGCCCATTCCCAGTCATGTCACACACTGCTTTCCTCTTCTTCCCAAATCTTCTTCCTCTATCATATCCATCTATCTTGTTATAGAACTACTACGAAAAAGAAAATGTAAACTCAATAACCCCAGGGTACCAGTCACAACTTATGACAGCTTATCAGCACGTAGAGTTCTTTCTCTTTGAGCGCATTAGCTCAGAATCATACCTCACACATTTATCCGAAAACAATGATCATGACATCACTATTTCAGGTGTAATGACTGACTTCTCTCCATTATGTTCATATCTGAATCGTTTGGAAGCGTTGAGGATTACAGCCATACTTAGGCTTAGCTAAATTCATCGACTGTGTGTTAACTCCTAACCTGACTTAAAGGAAATACGTCTCCCCCTCAAGTTAGCCTAACTCTTGGTGTCAATCTTTGTGTGCAATTAGTCTAGCTAGGATCTTGCTAATCTTTTAAAAATATTGATTTCCGTTGCCATCTTTTTCACAGAGTGTTATAAGATCTAATGCTCTACATATATTACAAATGAATTTTAACCTATCATTCTGGTCTGAGAACCGCAAGAAGGCGGCAAAATGGAACGAATTCAAGATTTTCTGCTGCCATTTTTCTTTTCATCATTATTACAAAAGAGATGAGTCCATCTGCCAGAGGAATGAGAAGATCTTTGCAGAAGACTAAACTACAAAAAATGTAATTTTTCTAAAAAAGACTAAATTTTACAGAACCAGTGATGCTTAGCAATATCAACCATCTATGTACCAAGATAACAAAGCACAGAAAACGATTACACGTAAATGCTTTGACAGCAACATTTCAGATACTAGAGGTAAATGTAATCCAAAACAGTAGCATAGGAGCAAATATAGGGTAATAGATAATTACTCTAGCAGAAAAGAATGAAGAAGGAAATCTCCCAAAATAAGATGCATATGGAAGAAATAGTTTGGCATTATAAAACTGTAGTTTGTGCGTTCTATACTATCTTGATTTTGATGTTGTGATTCTTTTACTAGTTAAATAAAATTTTCTGGAACTGTACTGTGTTGAACAATATTAGTGTTTTTACAGTCTGAACATTTCTAAAACTGAATCCCAAACTGAACCCAACCCCATTAAATGCAAAATGTTAATTTATCTTCCATTCACCCTTGTTCTCAGTCTTTGCTATTTTCTAGTTTGGCAGGCCCTTCGCAGTTCCAGATACAGCTCTAAACTACGGCCGCGCTCACCCAATTCTATTTTTAATTTATCCAGCACCTGGCTGATTTGAAAAGTCCATTCTCGCACAATATCAATTTTTAGGCTCAGTAACTGCAACTAATCACTTGAACCTTTGGAGTACTGTTATAAAATCACCTTCCAAATATTTTCTACATTTTAAACATATACATAATTTAAAAGTATTAACAGTAATAACAGCAGTAAATTCTTGTATTACTACCTATTTCAACATGACTCTTGAAATCGAAAGATGATGTGCCCCTTGAAGCATGAAAAAAATCAATAGAAAAGATTTTTAGGTATCTAATTCCTATGTATTTCAATGGGAAGTAGGCAGCTAAAGGGGAAGAAGAACTCTTGGAATAGCTAGGCCTTACTCACTCTGGAATGGAGTTTAGTTAAATGATGCAGCTTGGATGACTTCATTAAAGCCTCCCTGTCTCACACAGGTTAAAGCTGTTAGGTA